GCTATGGTCTCTGCATCAGGGGTGGGATTCAAATGGTGTAATAACCGGTTCGGTGAGCGTGCCCTTTAATTTTAACCAACTAAGTCTAACCTTTAGTATATTGGGAAAAGACTCTATGTTGAGAAAGATTGAAGGCAAAACAAGAAGGGGGATGATAGAGGATGAAATGGTTAGATAGTGTCATCAATGCAATCAACATGGATTTGGGCAATTCCAGGAGACAATGGTGGAGAGGTTAGCCTGGAGTCCATGGGGTTGTGAAGAATCAGATATGATTTTGTAATAGAACAACAGAACTCAAGGTGGTGACATGTCCAACAGTTTGCTCCTCCTATTTTCCCAAAGCAACAACCCTGTGAGGTGGGATGGGTTGAGAGAAAGTGACTGACCCAAAGTTACACAGCTGGCTTTCACTTATTCCTTCCACCTATCTTTACCCATCTATGCCCTTTTGGCCATCCCTGCCGTATGGGGCAGCCAGCACCCCAGAACTGCATGGCTCTTGGGCTGCTTACCAATCCTGGGAATAGGCAGCACATCAAACTTTCACCCTTTGCACCTGGCTATCACACCAAACGAAAGTCTGTCACTGCCTTTGCTGTCATCCTTTTAGAACTATCTTCTCTGATACATGTGTCCTAGAAGTGGTTCCCTGAGCCTTTGGAAAGCTGTGTAGTCTTTGGAAACCTACACTGTCTTTTCAATTGCTTTCCAAAAGCACAACAGCTTTCCTAAGGCAACTTAGCTTTCCAAAGATTGTGCTATCATTGGAAAGCATTTGGAAAGAGTGCAGTTTTCCAAAGGCTCAGGGAGCTACATGTAGGAAAGGTTTGCTAGAAAAGCTGGGATCAAAAAGGAGACTGCAAAAGCAGTAATCTGCTTCTTCTTTGGCTGGGCACAAAAGGCAAGAGATAGGTGCAGGAAACTACAAGAGAAGGCAGCTGGGCAAACAAATGCTTTTTGGTATTCGGGCTGCTGAGGTTTCCCCTGCAGTGACAAACAGCCGAGGAGCTATATAGTTCTGTGGCTGTTTGCCACTCCACAAGGCAGAGTGTGCAACTGTCAAAGGGCAGATATGTGCTTGAAGATATAAGAGGGATTGGAGGCAGTATCGTACTTTGATGCAGTTTGATGCTGGGTGGGACTACAATAGTGGCCAAAATTGTGGAAATCTTTTGAGAAAAGTGTATTTTTGAGGTTTGATGGCTAACACCACTTTTTTTAGTAATACCATAAATTATGTCAATGGAAAGATAATTTAATCAAGAATGTAATGCATTGTTTGTTCAATTATCTGCATTCTATGAAAATTTATAGCCAAATAACCAGAAAAAGGAAGCACAACTTGCTTAGGTTGATATCAGGTAGCTTTTCTTCATCTGATTGTAGCCAATGAGCATGAGTGTTTAGAGAGCCAATCAGGTGTCATCTTGTTTTGACAATGAGCCAACTAGATCACAGCAGGATTCAGTTATTGATGTCATGTATTGAAGCTGAGAAGAGGACATTTGTCAGTATATTATATGATCGCTATCAAGTTGGTTGGGCTTTTTTGTGTTCTTTCATTTAGTAAGCTTGTAAAATGTAATAAAATTATGTAATGATGCAAAGAGTTGACTGGTCACCCAGAAAACAATGTAAATAGTATTATTAAGTGAACAAGGCTACAGTTATAAAGAAATTAGAAGAAAAATTGCTGGAAACTTAACCAAAGGTGGCATTTTTAAATTTTTGAAGAGGTATAAGGAGACTCAGTCACTACAAAACCACACTGGTAAAGGCAGGAAAAGTTGTACAACAGCAAATGATGATAGAAGAATTAAGAGACTATGCCTATGCGACAGAAGAAAATCATTTGGATGTATACAAGATAAAATAGTGCAATGGAATGTGAAGTTGAGTACAAAGACTATTCGGCGTAGACTGCAGGAATTTAGCCTAAAATCTAGAATTCCATGAAAAAAGCCACTTTTATCTCTCAAACAAAAGTTAAAAAGACTAAACTGGGCTAAAACCCATGTTGCCTGTACAGAGGAGCAATGGGACAGTATTATTTGGAGTGATGAGACCAAGATCTCCCTGTTTGGTAGTGATGGAAATACACTTTTCCCAAAAGGTTTCCACAATTTTGGCAGCTACTGTAAGTCCAGAATGTGTTTCCCCAAAAATAAGAACATTAGAGCTTATTTTCAGGAAAACATGGTATCAGGGTAATCCCTCCCCCCCGTGCATGCACAAGAGCCGTTAAGGGCACAGGGACCAAGAGTGTCCGGCAGCAGCTGCAGCTCATTGCGTCCAAGTGCTGCGATCACTGCCCTAGCCCTCTAAGCAACAGGTGGAGGCAGGGGTGTGGGGGAAGCACATGATCCTGCCCATACATGTTACAAGGCAAGCAAAGATAGATGTTGGGATGGAGTAGTCAAGCGGCCAGGGAGGCTTGTCCTGCGTGTACGGTGGAGCTAAAGTATGTAATGACATTAGACAACATTGGGGCCAAGTGAGAGGCTGCAGCATAGCACCACCCCCACCCCATCACCTGCCTTGCCTTGTGGTGGCAGCACTAGCAACAGGTAGAGGCAGAGGCATGGAGATGCCCATTCCGTGTCCAGCAGCTGCTACAAGCACATTTCAGCAGCCCTGAAATCTGGCTCTCAGTCCCTCCCAAGACACCAAGAGCAGTCTGGTACAATTTAATGCTTTTAATTTACAAATAGAAAACCTGCTTTCTAATACTACTACTTCTTTTCTTTCTTGGCCTCACTTTTTTTCCTTTTGCTTTTCCTTGCCAACTTTCCTCTCCTTCTTACTCTCTTCCTTCTCCTCCCCTCCTTCTTGGCATCTCTGTTGGGAATCTTATTGATGAGATTGTGCAGTGCTACCACTGAATGGATCAGGTGAGGCAGATGGCGCCATGCCATTGCCCCTACATGTTTGGCCCGCACCATCTAATGTTATCCTCCACCTCTGCCGCACATGCATGATGAGCTTCTCGAGGCTTATTTTCTGGTTGGGACATTTTCGGGGAAAACAGGTTGCTTAAACATTTGTGATTTCTATTAATGACTGCAATAGGGAGTGCTGAGATTGTAAATCCATGGTGATTTGACATCTTACTTTATAAGCACATCAATTAGTGATAGAAATTGAAGACCCAGCTTCTTTGTAAGTCAAGGACTACCTGTTCACACACATACATGCCAATGTTATATGTAACTCAAGGATGGCCAATGTATGGGATTTCAACAGTTACTGAACCTTAAACTCCATCATTCTAACCAACAAGATGAGGTGATATGCAAATTATAGTCCAATATTGGCTATACATTCACTGCTTTTGTTATTTTTTAAAAGATTAAAAGCTACTCTGAATTAAATAATGTAAGTTATTTATTACAGTTGTCCAAGAATATTTGAGCTGTCTAATATATAATTATCCAAATATTAGACAAACTACGACAAATTACATAAGTATGCTTTTAAATGCTGTTACACACTATGCAAATACAAAAATGGCTTATGCTTTCTTTCCGGAAGCAGATAGCGCAGACTAAAATTAAAATTTCCTGATACTGAGGAAATCTTGTGCATATTCAGCTGTTAGTTATGACTCTAAATTGTTGTTACCAGAAATAAGGCTAAAAACTTTGCTTATATTAGAATAAGCTGTTTGAATGTGCTACTATAAAACACCTTCGTCAGCAGACTTGATTCTAAAGTGAGTTCATTTTTGTCAGAAAAGTACAAATAAAAAGGTGATAAGTTGATCAGAAAGGAGAAAAGCATTTATTCTAATACAACTATTTACAGATTGAAGATTAGTTGCAAAATCTAAAGACAACAGAAAACCATTATTTTTTGAAGAAAATACTTTATATAATGCAGAATTTGAAAACTGTTTTCAAATTTTTCTAAAAATAATATTGTACTGTATTGTTTTCCAAAGTCCACCCTTTTCAAATAAAGAGCATTTGCAAGTGGCAAAAATATTAGTATTTGTTTACATATTATGTTGGGAAGATTATATTTAATCAATTTTAGCAGAGATACATTTTAGTGCTCCTTTCTGTTATTCTCACCTAACAACAAAGCCTCTGGAGAGTAATATTGTAGTAGTGTATATGGAATCTTTCCGTATCGTTATGGTCATACGAATGATTGTACCACGTAATTTATTGTGTAACGGAATTAAACAAACTTAAAGCCTGAACTGAAGCGTGAAAATTTCTTTCGAAACTTCCACTAACAATAGCGGCGTGCTCATACTCCATTTACAAGGCTGGGTAGCATTCTTGAACAATAGTTGCACATGTAATAGTAACGTTCAGCACCCTTCACTTGATCTGTGGTGCTCAAGATTCAAAAGAGCAACGGATTTGAGAGAAATCAGCGAGCATGATCATCTGACCACTGTAGCGGAATTGGTTGTGGGAGGTGGGGAAGGCGCGCTATTATTTGAACCTGATATAGTGAAAGGATAAATGTGAAAAACTGTCTGACTTCTGTTTCTACAAGCCGTGTAAAGCGTTTCGGGCGGATGTTGGGCTGGAAAAGAACAGGAATTGGCAAGACAGCCGCAATATATGTATTTATACTGTAGTAGCTCTGCAAACTGCCTTCTTCATTTTCGGTTCCTGGTCGTCGACAGTAGCTAAGGACACTCTCTTTAGGGGTGGCTTGTCGCCAGGGGATGTAGCACGAACGCAAAATAGGGCTACGCAACAGCGCATAGATACGTACATACAGAATCCGGCACGCAAAACTGCGTAGTGCCCCGGTTCCTTCCTTCAAGCTGTCTGCCGAGACAGATGAATACTTCGTCTCGGCAGACACAGATCCGCCGGACCGAAGGTTAGCAAGCCGTCAGCAGAGCGACAAAGTCCTTGGAGAGCGCGCCGCCGCCGCCGCTGTGCGTGTGTGGGCGGCCTCCGCCTTTCTCTGCAGCTGGGCGCCTGCGTGCAAGAGAAAAGGGGGCGGTGGTTGAACTCAGCAAGCATCGTCGGCTACGAGGCGAGGGGGGGTGGCGGCCGGGAGGCGGCGGCGGCCGGAAGGGAGCCTTCCTTTCGCTCTCCCAAGCCCCGCTTTGCTTTGGCGGGTCGGTGGATCTCTGAGCGAGGGAGGGACGCAGGCGGGGAGGAGGGAGGTGAATGCCCCCTCTTCAGTGCCTTTGCACCAACAGCAGCAGGTAAAGTCGGCTCAGCCCCTGGCGGCTCCCCCTCCCCGTGACCCGCCCGATCCCCGCAGTATCAAATGACTTGCCTTCATCTGCAGCCTCCTTTTGGTTACCCCAGGCTTCGTGTGGCCCCCTCCTCCTGCCTCGCCTCCATTCCCGGCTGTCACCGAGGGACAGCCGTAGAAAGCGAGGAGGAAGTGATTTTTGAGGCCTGCAAGGCTCCTACAAGGCGCCAATCCCTCGCCCGTCGCCTGCGCTCCAGCTTCTAGAAGCAGATCTGTTTGCTGCTTCGGTTCATGTGAACCAGGAAGGTTGAGGGAACCTTTTTTGCTGTCTAGAGGCTTCCGAGAGGCAGAGGAAAAGATTCCTTAATGGGGTCGGGGGCGGGCGCGTTTTACCGCCCCTTTTCTTAGGGGAAAGGAGAAGTTGCTCTTTCTCCCCTCCCCCTCAAACCTTCACTCTTCAATCTAGTTTGTTCTCCTTCGCTTTCTTCCAAAGTGATCCGAAAAGCGCTTTCAATTTCAGATTCTGTTCTTCACACCATGTGAGAACCCCCAAGGAGTTCATCGGCATTTGCTTTCAAGTGAACGGGTATAAAATTGCACCTTTCAGTCACATTTACCAGACCTTTTGATTACATCAGCTTACTCATGTTCCTTAAAAAAAGGAAACAAAGCAAGGCATGTGCTTTAGATATGAAGAACCCGAATAGCTTTTTTTTTTTTTTAAAGTCTTAGATATGAAATTTGGTTTCTGTTGAATCAGTCATGGCAACTTTTAGGGAGGTTTAAGATTCAGTGCATTGTGAAGGACTATATGTCCCAAACTTGTCATATTCTGAGCGTGTCCACATAGTAGAGGAATAAAACCCTATCATAAATTTGTGAAACAGTTATTTTATTCACTTGAATTTCCTCACTAGAGCCAGCTTGGTTCTTTCATTATGTGCCAGAGAAGGTGACTGATTCATTGATGAATATAGAAAAAATGAATATCCTGTGTATTGAATTAAAATGTCTGTATTGAACTTTAGCAAGCATAAAGTTAGCACAGGGCAGTGAGCTGTATTTTAAGGGAAAGGAAGATGCAAAATTTTAAACCACTCCTCCAAAAGAAAATTTAATTTAATTAATTAATTAAAAATTAAAACTTGCCTGCCATTTTATTTAAAACAATTCCCATTTTAAGAGGAAAATAAGACTGGAAATGTAGCACTTCTCAAATACAATACTCTAAATTTACACATTGTAGAGTTGGAAACATTTTATGCAATTCAGTGATATTTTTCAATATGAAGTAAAGAAAGATGGAAGTTTCCGTATCCATAGCAAGTCTCCTACGAAAAAACATCCAAAACCAGATGATATATAGTATATAATGAAAAAAGATTTAGAAATGCTATTGAGATCATCCAGGTCCTTGGACATGTCTAAACTAACTTTAACTATAATTTTTACAAAATATTTCTTTTGATAATGTGTGTATAAAAATACCACATTTTTAATTAGAAAAAAGCAAGACATTGATATGGTTAGAAATGCTACATGAATAATATAAATATGCACATATGACTGTGTGTATCTTCTGTAAAATAAGAGGGAATGATAAATGCTAGGTTTTTCTTTATTATATATGTACGCTATATTTCAACTTTTATTTCATGAACTAAGACTTCTCAGTAGTGTTTATACATGATACAGTAACATAGTTCTCAATAAAATACAGTATTTTATGATTTGTCCCTTATTCCATATTTTGCACACCACTAGTTTTTTTCAGCCAGTTTGGTAAAGACATCAGGCTAGAGAAAGCCAGCTTGGGCCAGCCCTAGGACAGAGGCAGTAGCAAATCACTTCTCTGAAATTTTGCCAATGAAACAGGCAAGTAGTTTCCAATAATCAGACATTAAAGGGAAGAAAGAAAAAGGTTTTCTTGTGCATGGACATAATTCATGGGTATATCCTTGTTATGGCATGGTGATACATACTTGATCAATAACCCTAAACTTAATCTATATGGCACATTGCTGAGAGTCAAAATCAGTTGCTGTGTAAAAATAAATGGTGACCCTTAAGTGGTTAGATGGCCTAGTCCTAGACATTGGTATTTGACCATAGATCTTTTTACCATTTATATATTATTGTATTTTACTAATCTAGGTGAAATGTTAATATGTATTGCTAGTCCGTGTATGATATACCATACACTAAATAAAATAAAATAAATAAATAAATAAATAAATGATGGGCAAAAACATTTTAGTGGGTAAAAAAGAGTAGAAGCCCGTATTTTATTTTTTGTTTATTATTAATTCATATTCTGCCTAGAATACATAATATTTCTGCCTTTCCCCCCCCATAACATATCCTTGGGTGGTGGATTCGGCTTAGAGAGTGATTGGGCCAAATAAACTAATTGGCTTTTGTCAAACTTTTCATGAAATAATCTGTGCTTGTTAGTTAAAAGCCTTTAAAAAAAGCCCTTGTGAAAAAAAATATTTTGATGGATTGTTTCTGTAGAATATTGCTTCCAATATATATTTATCCAACTAAGTATTGAGCACTGTTTTGTTATTAGACTTTACAGTTAATAATCATGTGTATATTTAGCAATTTTTTCATTAACTGATGATGGAACTAGCAATTTTCTTACAAATATATTCCATTGAATTAGATACTAAGAATTAAATTTAGAATTGCAGGCCAGGCATAAGAAAATCACATCATGCTTTAGAGAAATTAATGTTTTAATTCCTATTTATAACAGTCTCAGTTTAATCAAATTTTCTTTGTAAGATTTTGCCTGTGATATAAATCTACTGAAAGTGAAAGTGTTTGGGATGGTTTGAAATCTCATGTCATTGAAATTAAAATCCAACATTTTTTCACAGATGCTACCCATATTTTCTTCCTGTCATTTTTGAGGTATTCTTCAGAAGCAATAAAGTTAAATTCTGGCCTGGCTATTGCAATTACATTCTGCACAAGTAATCTTGGACTTAACCACCAGTTGCTTAGCAACTATGTGAAATTATGATAGACAGCCCCCCCCCCCAGGTACTTATGACCCAGTTCCGAAGTTCCGACAGCTGCTGCTCCATGCAGTTATGTGATCTCATTTTGGGCCTTTGACAACCGGCCCACATTTATTTCACATATATTTGCTGCCTCCTACTGTCATGATACGATTTACAATGGTTTTTTTTTTCTGAAAAATGGTGTTTAATTTCAGTTTTTGGCTAAAATACCCTGTAATGAATAATGGGTTGACTTAGTGACCATGACATTTGCTAATGCCACAGATTTGTTTAATGACCATGGTGATTCATTTAATGTCCATTGCAAAAAAATTCATAAAATCAGATCAGACACCCTATGATCCATTTTTACAAGATCACAAGTTACAATTGCAATGGGCAGGCTCCATTATGGTCGTAATTTGAGCACTACCTGTAATTACTCAAATTTCACAAATATTAATTTTCTTCATGTATGCATTTCTTAGGGTTTTTGCAATTCTAGTTTTATAACTTTATAAGTAATTTAGTGCAACAAACATATCTACTGCCTTCCTCCTCTTTTCTTCACAGTAAAAAATCCTGTGGGTTGAATTAAGCTGAAAGTGACTGGCCCAAAGTCATCCAGACAGCTTTCATGTCTATGGTGGGACTAGAACTCAGTCTCTTGCTTTCTAGGCCAGAACTTTAACCTCTATACCAAACAGGCTGTACCTGTCATAATGTGAACTTTAGCTGGAGCTTAATTACAGTGAAGTCTCCTTTTCTTCTTAATGCTGTACAAGGATCTTATATAAATCTGGATTTTTCTAACTTCCATCATTAGAAAAGACTCTTCTGTATCTAGTCCCATATTCTTGGATTC